GGTCTTACATAAAATATGCTCTCTGGCCCAGCCTGAGCACTCGTGTGCATATTAGTAATGGATGTATAGATGTACATCCTAATAGTGGATGTGCCAGAGATACAGTCAGTGTTTTAACATGTCATAACAGGACCTCTCCCAAAGCACATACTTTCTGATGTACTGTATACAGTAGGTGAAAGTACAAACTATTTCATATAAAGGGCACATATCTTATTTGCTTTGTTTGGGGACTTGATCTGTATTAAATACCAAGACCTTGATAAGCAACTTAACAGATCTGGATGATACAAAAATAAAAAGAGCACATGGCTCTGCTGTGACCTGTTTCCAGATAAACTCTCTGATATTTGCCTTCTGTCACAGCCTCAATATTTGGCCTGAATAATACATGGAGGCAATCGATAAGAAGAAAGTCAAGTTTTTGTAATTATGCCCTGTTTGCCATAACAAGTACTAACGGACCGTATTTACAGAGACTTATGCAGATATGTTTTTATATTGACTCAATTTAGACCTTAACACCACATATTTGCCTCTGTATCATCTAACTGAATAAAGAGGCCTGTCTGCCTCTCGTAGCATTGAAGCCTGTTGTCTGTTTTCAGATATTGGACCGTATTCTCTCTACCTCCTCCTGAGGCTTTTGTTCTCAAAATAGCCTCATGAAGACTTAATGTACATCCAGGGATGAAATGTCACTCTTTCTTTTTCCTTTCTTGTTAGCCGTCATCCTTCCTAAAACTGTCTTCTTCAATACCTCGTTCTCTATCACTTTCACCTTACTGTCTTTCAGTGTGACCTACTTCCTCCACACTCAATGCATCTCCTCCGCTTGATCCCCTTTGCAGAATGTTTGATGTGGGAGGACAACGCTCGGAGAGGAAGAAATGGATCCATTGTTTTGAAGGAGTCACAGCCATCATTTTTTGTGTTGCACTCAGCGCTTATGACCTGGTGCTGGCTGAGGATGAGGAGATGGTAAGGAAACATTATTCTCATCTGCTTTGTGATATGACTCCTATTCTATCTTTATATTGCAGTATCAGGTAGTTTATTTTCTAAGGCATTACAAGGCAAATAAAAGGATCCATCCATCCTCTATTGAAAGCTTAATAACAGTAATCTCCAGATGGTGAAATTATTATCCATTTACAGTTGAACCAATGAAGTGTATTTATGTTAAAAGGCTAAGTGGCTTGAACCATTGACCCCAATTTCTGGAGCTGATTATGAATTAAAAGAAAGTGCTCCAGAGAGACTTGGCCTAAAGATGCTCTGAGGAACATCCTGTGCTCTGCTCATTTCTCACATTTAAATATCAAACAGCAGTGTCCCCTGGTGGCAGCTCTGATGTGTTGTTGTGCTTCAGTGGAGGCCGCAATCTTTAACTTCCGTTGCTTCTCTCTAGAACCGAATGCATGAGAGCATGAAGCTGTTTGACTCCATCTGCAACAACAAGTGGTTCACCGAGACCTCCATCATCCTCTTCCTCAACAAGAAGGATCTCTTTGAGGAAAAGATTCCTCGCAGCCCCCTAAACATCTGCTTCCCAGAATACACAGGTACAGAGTTGGATTAATAACAAATAAAATCACAAGAACATGTAAGCTTTCATGCTATTATTAAATCACCTCATGTTTCCAAACTGTTGTTCCCCAGGAGCCAACAAGTTTGATGAAGCAGCCAGTTACATTCAGACCAAGTTTGAGGACCTGAACAAGAAAAGGGACACCAAGGAGATCTACACCCACTTCACCTGTGCCACCGACACCAAGAACGTGCAGTTTGTCTTTGACGCCGTCACTGACGTCATCATTAAGAACAACCTGAAAGACTGTGGTCTTTTCTAAAGGTAGGCTAGAGGGATGATGAAATATAAAATGTTTTCTGACATATTCATGTGGCCTTAAAGGTCCCATGACATGGCCATTTCTACTGATCATAATTCCATTGTTGAGGTCTACTTGAATAGATTTACATTGTTCAATATTCCAAAATCACATTTGTTTCTCATACAGCATCTCTGTATAGTATGTGTATTCACTCTCTGTCCTAAACGGCTTGTTGGACCTCCTGCCCGTGGAACTCAGCCTGAGCACACACACTCATAGCCAGCTGTGTGTGTGTGTGTGTGTGTGTGTGTGTGTGTGTGTGTGTGTGTGTGTGTGTGTGTGTGTGTGTGTGTGTGTGTGTGTGTGTGTGTGTGTGTGTGTGTGTGTCCAAATGGACCAATCCACCGTTACGACCAGGAAGAGTCTTTGAGGGTTTGTGACTCTGCAGACCGTTTACATGCATAAAAAGCTTCATAACACACAAGGGGACGGGTAATAACCAGAAAAACATGTCATGGGACCTTTAAGGTTCAATCAGTCGATAAGTTGATCCGACAGAAAATAACTGGCAACAATTTGATTGATTGACGACTCACTAATTGACTTGCATTGGTCTATGGCACAAGCCTTCTGGCTCTATTTTCCCAATTGTGAATATATGTAGGTTTTCTTACTTTGTCATAACGGTAATCTATGTGTCTTTGTCATTTTAATTAAGCGCAATTTAGCATTGATTTGCTAATTAACATCATCCATGTCTGCGTGATTTACTGTAGTTGATGAGAAGCAGTTTAAACATGATACATTAGTAGACATTAATACAAATCATTGCTCTTTGAATGTATTTATCTAAAGGTGCCTTTTCTTGTCGTCTTTCTGTTCCTTCAGGAGAATGCCTGACTGACGCACCCAGACTGCATGAGACTGCAACAGCCATGTGATGATACTGCTTTTCATAATGAAAACCATAAGAGACTTGACTCTTAGAGCACATACTTTAAAGAACTTCAACAATCACAGATTTGCAACCATCCCATTCTCTGTTTATTGTGTTGATTAAAAAAATCTATATATATTTCTTATGGCTCTTGATTAGGGTTCTCATACTGTCCATACTGATTACCTGTAAATAGATATACAGTATGACCAAGCCCCCTTTTATTGTTTTTTTTAATTGAATTTGTAAAATGATTTTATCCCACTGGCTTAAGTGGAAACACATGTTAGAAGAGAGAAACTTATCATAATATTAACCAATCTTTCCCATCATAATACATAGTAAATGAAAATAGAGCAATATTAAAGTATTTTACATCCTTAATAAGACTTTCAGGAGTAGTTTAAGGATGACTTTTAGTCTGCAGTTATCTGATTTGAGGAGTCTCATTTGTTTTGTATTCAGACCTCTTTGAGTTGTTAGGGGTTTCATTTTAATCCTTATTTGCTTTTGAAGTTTAATAAGAAGTAACAACATGACAAAATAATATTTTATAAAAAATGAAATTACTTATGTTAACTAATGTTCGCATTTGATGAACCCTCTGACTGCACAGAGCTTATTTTTTTGAAGAAAACAAACAAGCATGGAGAATGAACATGGATGAAGGGAAATGCTTTTGTACAATGTTTACACAGAATCCACCGTTGTACTTTAGTGCATTGTTCTGCATGACCGTCCATAGATTAGCGTGTATCTCCCACAACTGAATAACATTCCTGAGTAACTTCTACAAAGAAACAAAACATAAATGGTTTTGTGTCACTTTTAAGATATCTACAATATGTTTAAGTGGTAATCTCTGTTCCTAACATGGATGTTCTGTTTTTCTGTTCCATGTTAAGTTTGTATTTACATATGTTTGTGCCTTGATATCTGTTTACACATGTTATTTAGAGACATACTATCTCCATAGTGTGAATTAGGGCTATTTCTATTCCACTGTATTTCACATTACACATGATTTAAGATGCACCACAACAAAGAGACACATGGATGATAGTCTTTCAATAATATTAAGAAAAGAGTCATTCAATTGTTTTATGTAAATAAAAGTTTGCTCACTTGATCTTTTATTTTCAATGTGATGGGTCAAAAGAAAATGCACTTAACACACATTAATCCCCATGAATGGACCTAAACTCTACTGAAATGCAAATTAAAAAAAATAATTCAAAAGGGACTGTGAATAATCCAGTCATTTTAATATATATGATTCTGAAATGGGCCATTACACACACTAAGCTGTTTTACTTTTGGTACTTAAGTATACCTTGATACCAATACTTTTGTACTTTTAATCAAGTAAGTGTTTAAATTCTAACTAACAGAATATTTTTTAAATGTATCAGTCATTTTACTTTAGTGAAAAATCTCATTACTTTTTCCAGCTCTGTATGTAAGAGAGGGGTGCACTTGCATTGCAGTAAAGCAGTGAAAACCCAACCTCAGTTACACTTGGATGCAATCTAAACAATCTAACAATGTCATACTCTTGTGCTTGAGAGTCCTGAGCAGATCCATCACAACTGGGGCTGAATTAAGGTGTTATAAACGTCTTAGGTGAGGTGAGGAGTTCAGTCATCAATGGGTTGCTTATCTGCAAATTAAATGAGAACATCAATCGAGCTGTGTTTGCATTTCTAAACACCCGTTAAGGAAGGAATTGGGAATGGACCGTAGGCTATGCATTCCTCAGATTGTTATAAAGGGTGTGAAAAGGTATATATTATAACATCCACAAGGTGGCGTCATGTAGATTTGAGACATTTGCAGACATAAGAGGCGCTTAAACACAGCAGTTCACACCATTTACGAGTGACTTTTTATACTCTGCATTCATCTCACCAACAACTAAAGTGCATAATATGCACTATATAACATATTCATTATCAGTGATGTAGAAAATCCAACAGATGTTCGTCCAATAGAAAAAAAAGTTCAAAAGGTCCTGCGATTGATCAATATATTTATGTTCAATGAAAATGTCCTAATAATCAAACTCCGGATCGTTCACAGTACAACACTTTATAGTAGGAACCTTTTGCTCACACGGGGAGGGATCTAATTTCAGCAGACTCGCTATTGGCTGATTTGGTAATGCCCTGCACTGATTGGCTGCTGGGAAAACCTCAGCATCGTCAAAACCCCCTGACAGACCTTCATATGGATCAGAGGGGTAATGCAGCCCACAGACACTCTGGCTCTATTCAACTGTGAATCTCTGCAGCTGTGGATTGTGCTGGGATTCATTTAAATGCTTAGGTGAGTGGTTAATACTAATTATTTACTATGTCTGTCTTAGTAGTGATACACTTTCAAAGCCCATCTCATATCTAATGTATCATGTTTTTGTTGCAGAAACAACAGGATTCTGAACTTCACTACAGGAATTAACTTTAAAAGATATGGTAAGTCTTTTTCCACGTGCTTTTATATATTTCAATCGTTTTCTAGATGCATTGCAGTGGCTTGTAATTGCAAAGGTATTTGCTTAGGACCCTTGGCAGAAACACTTTGTAAAGTATTTTCAGTTTAAGTGAGTGCACATGTTTCTGCTGATTCTTAAAGTTTTCCCTCTACTGGCTGTTCTTTTTTGGGAAGCTTGAGTGTTTAATCCCCCAAGTCACAGTTAATGCAAACCTAACTGTCCTTGCCAATTGTGTACAACTTGGTGAATCACTTCTCGTTGTGTGAAGGCAGTCAAGGAGAGCAGGGCATTTTAAGAGGTGCAGACTGACCACTGAGTCCCACTGAGGATGTCTCTTGTATCTCAGATAAGTCTCCCCCGGGGGCCAAATGGTTCATCACCCACAGCTGTGACAACATCATGGCATTGTGTTGTCCGTGCATCTCCAAGCCAAACAATGGCATGCCAGGGAGGTTCAACTAAAAACTAAATATCATAATAGAAACCTAAAAACTAAATGTATTACAGCTAATTATTTTACTTTGGACATTTTTTGGAGTCTACTCTGATCCACAGGAAAGTTTGGTAAAACTGTATTTTTGGTTTGATGATTGTACAGATCATGTTACATCAACTGGTACAAATTGTTTTTTAGTTTATCTGAAGGCTGGATGATATCATAATTAATGAACGATGATTGTGTAATTCCAAAATGTGGTTGCCATTTCCTGCTTTATTAATACACTCCAGTCAACATCCTGTGAGTAAGGGGAATCCAGAGAGGATATGTGCCTCGGCACTCCTCCACAATTCAGCTCTACTCTGTTCAAACGTCCCTTCTCGTTTAAAGTTGCAGTAAGAATTTTCCCAGTACAACACGTGCATATTGTCCCAAAGCCACAACTTTTCATTTTCTGGGATCATACTGCAAGGGATAGTCTCCATAAAGCTGCTCTGAGGTTTTTCAGGAATGCTTCACTTGTTATATGGTCATAGAGCACAGTGATCTCAGCTGGTAAAAATCTTATTGGCCCAGTTCTGAAAATAACAGAGGGAATTGTGTCTCAGCTAAGCCAGCCTAACTGCTCTGTAGACTCTTGCAAACGACACCCAAAGCTTTGTTCGGTTTTAAGTGTTGCTTTTAAATATACTTTGCCAATTTTTCCATCACCACTAACTCTTTGTGTCTTTTTATTGTGTAGCTGTGTTTAGGAGACTCTCCTGACTGCCTTCGGGACCAAATGCAGTGCATGATGAGATCCCTGCAGGACCTTAAGCAGATAAGCAAGCCGAGGCCACTGAGTGAACCGTGTGCTCGCTCCTTTGCTGTGACTCGGCTCTGCAAACAGAGGGCGCAGCAAGAGAGACTCGCTCGTCTGCGTGTCTCTGACTCCAGTGAAGCCAGCACATATGACTCTGCCTGCTGCCTGGCCAGCCCCCTGGAAGAAGACGAAGAGCATCAGGAGCATGAGCGATTGACACAAGGCTCCCCGAGCAGTGAGAAGAGTCTGGACGTTGACTCGGGATACTCTGAGGCTTCTTGGCAGGATGAAGGTGTGGTGCTGAGGAGAACCAGGAATGTGAGAGTCTCCTCTTCTGCCTGCCTCCGCACAAACAGAGGAGCTTCTGGAAGAATCCGGCCCAAATCGACCTCCGACGCCTGCCTGGAGCGCTGGACCGCATTTGAAGCCAGCAACCCAGAGGACTGGACGACCTCGCTGCTGAGCCGCAGCAGGAACAGACAGCCTCTGGTTCTGGGGGACAACAGCTTTGCTGACCTGATAAAGAACTGGATGGACCTACCAGAGTGTCCTGAGCCAGCAGAACTAAAGCCCCATGTGGGGCGGCGCATGGCCAAAGACATTTTGATCAACATGCGGCGCAGACTAGCAGGGATGTCTAAAAATGTTGAGGTGAGGCAGAGGACAGCAGACTTGACGAGGGTCAGCAGGGCTGCGGAGGACCCAAAGCGGATGTCCTGTCCTGTGGGGCTCCAGGCGCTCAAACCTTTCTTTCACCAGTCCCACACAGGCCTACACCAACCAGACACTGACTTCCACCATTTCACTGCTCTCATGAAGACAGGCAGCCGACAACCCATTATATGCAATGACATTATCGGATATATTTAAGGGAGGCTCCAGCCTGACCGTTCAAATGAATTGTGAAAAGATGGTTCTATTTTTATATTGGATTTTGCCCACAATGTTGATACATCTGTAATAAAGGTATTTTGTATTTAAAGAAAATGTGTTCTCTTACTTCCTGAGTATGAGCTGCCATACTGTAAACATTTTAACAGTTTCACAAATTGTGACATCTTTCAAGCTTCTTACAGTCATCTTCATGTAAATGTTGTGTTACAGTGGGGAAAGTTTTCTGTCGTTAAGCTCAATTTTACAGTCTTTCGAGACTGAGTGGTTGGGAGTAAAATCGCCCACAAGCCAAATAAATATAGTATCAGCATCTTAGCTCAATCAACTCTAACAGTAAAGGCCTTAACGCTTTAAAAACGAAGCAATTTCAACAGGATCTTTTTTTCTCGTTAAAATGTGAGGTTGAGTGTGTGATGTGGTCACAATAGAAAAGTATGTTCGTGACTAATTAAAAAGACGGTAAGGGAACTGAAGTCTTTTAGTGAAGTACACAGCACCACATGGTTCCTCAGACATATTTATTGAATTATATTATTTAAATGACAAACAGCATCCCGAATCACAGCCCCAATTACACACTGAATAAATAACCCTTTCACAAAGTGGCTTAAGTGATTATTTCAGAGAGGATTCTTCATTACATGATCTAAATACAGAGAGAGTAGAGTAAAAACAACACTATGTTAACATACGGGTGTGAAGTCAGACACATCGTCTGGTTGTTGAAAAGGACAGGTGATGCAGACGAGCCATTTCAGGACAGCTTAGGGCTTTAAGATTCCAGTCAAACCTGAAGTTTAAAAACAGATACCCCGGTAAAATGTCTACTTACGTTGGAACCAAAATGGCCATTTGTTATGTTTCATAAAAAGAGAATATACATATGTGTGCATTTTTAAGTATTGTTTGGAACATGGCTAGGGGACAACAGATTAGACACAGTGTTATGTTTTACTTTATATGATTAATGGTCCATTAACAATTGACGAAAACATGATCACAGTAAGCCAGGGATCAAATCTAAAATATTGTAAAAAGACAGTAAAGGAATGGATAGACAGATGCAGGAAAACATCATTCAGATAGTAATATTTGTAAACAACAGCTAAAGACATGAGCATGTTTTAAACTGATAAGATATCACAGGATTGTTTAGTGTGCTTTCTCACATTGAAGCATTTCCATGTGAAATATGTTTACTATAAAGTTTGAGTGAACTGTGTTGATGGCATCACACGAGCATGTATCTGATGGGAGGGACTGTCTCACACTCTTCGTCCTCAGTGAACGAGGCGGTGAACTCCAGCATCTTCTTGTGTGGAGGGATATCTGTCTTGGTGACCATCCTCACCACGTCAGAAACACTGCAAAAACATTCAGTATATGTTAGCTTAGCCTGGGAGAAAAGAATAACTATATAACATTATTTCTGTATCTCATTCCAACACAAATTAGCATTTTTGGTTTGTGTCTTCTGATCATTAAGGGCCATAAATGTTGTACAATTATTTAATTCTGTTAACATGTATTTATGTATCCAAATCTGGATTAAGCGTGTTCCTATTTGACATAGACTGCCATTATTGTCAATGTTAATCCTACATTCAGAAGTAAGAAGGTGTATTAAGGTGTAAAAATCAACACATATATTATTAACATTATAATACTATTTCATCTGTTTTCATACATTTAACATAAAACAATTTAATTGTGATCTGTTTTTAAGGATTTAAATGGTCAGTTGGGACAAAATGTTCGAACACAGGAAGCTTGTAGCAGGGAAACTGCACAGGAAGTCACTCCTGGAGAGGGCATTTTTTACACATGCGGCTAGCGGTCCACATGGCCAGCACTCTGCCCCTCTCCCCTCGCAGCTCTATCTAACCACAACACCGCTCCCCAGAGACATGAACATTTCAAACATACATGGACATTCACACAGTCTGTTTCAAGATGAACTCAAAGACCTTACAGCACGATGTAAGCTAAGTATGAACTAAATCAAAAATGTAAACTTGTGTATGATTTTTTTTGTTGGAGTTACAGGGATTGCGAACATCCCAGAGGCTGAATGTTCTGCTGTGACTCAGTTCTTAATTAGGAACGTTTACGAGTCACCTGATTGGTTTCACACACCCCGGGGCGTATAATGTGCTGCAGCACGGAACAGGCTCAAACAGTGTGGTGTCTCGATGCAGAAAAATAAGAATCACACTCATTTCACTCTTAAACTCTTGTCCTCAACAAACAGAAAAAAACCTGAGGAGGATCGGTCTCACTCGTCAGTGTTCAGTGATGCATGGGGATGTGTCAACAGGCTCTCTGCTCACAGGCGCAGAGGAAACACCTCATCCTGCCATTAGCCTCTAAACAAACACGGGAGGCTGCATATGCAAAATTACATTGTATCTCTGCCTTGACTGGACATACCTTTGCTTGAGCCTCTCTTCTTGCCCCATGTATAAGGCAGCGTTTCCGTAGAAGAGATGCTTGATGCTCAAGTCATATTCATCCTGCACAAAGAAACAATAAAAATACATTTAAAGTACGATGAGGAAAGAGATATGAGTATTGCCAGGATGCATTGTGCAGAGGAGAGTACTACTAATAAAGTCTGCAGAGAGTAGTGTTAAGGTCTGATAATGACCTGTGGCCTCTAACAACTTCAGCAGTTCAGGAAGCTCTTCAGTAACTCCGCAAATAAACAAGGGGGAACATGGAAGGATAAACAAAACCTGGGTAAATAGGACCACTTGCCAAAAATATTTTCCCCTTGCCTCCTCAGAACAAACTCTAGCAAAATCAATAAACTGTGTCTTGCCATGCCTGTCGTGGCACACTTACATGCATCAAAAACAGGCATGGAGTCTTATGTTTAGACTTTCTGTTGCTAAGGACCTATATCATGTTAAAACGCAATGTACTGTATACAGTATGTGAGCAATAGGACAGGTTATTCCACCTTAAATGAACATGTTCAGTATCCATGTTATATTTGTTGTATGATTATATTCTATAAATGCATGCAACCAGCTTATGATCAACCATTTTCTATGTTTTAAGTAAAAAAACAAACATGATATTCGGGACGTTGGAAGTGACAGCTTGAAATGTTATTGATGTCATAAAAACTCCAACAATTTAAAAGAAGATCTCATTATAACAACATAGCCTATGGTCATTTCGAGTTTGAATAAACAGCATGACCTTCCTCCAGGATTTCAGAATATAGTCCTGAAGTTGTGAATTGAAGGTGCAAAGTGTCCAGTCATCTCATACAATAGCTATTGTGTGCACTGGAGGAAGGTGAACAGGTTTAGGTATTTTTTTAAAAACATGCATAAAGTATGCCCTCAGTAACACCGGGTGTAAAGAAAGTGTGTGTTTCCGTGCTGAAAGGAATAAGGAGGCCGTACCCTGATAAACTGGAACAGATCTCCCAAGGTCATTTCCTGCTGACCGCCGCGTCTGCCCTCAACAAGGAAGTCATCCCACAGGGTGTATTTCTTTCCTGCGACCTGCCGATAGACACGTTACACCAACACAAACACAGGCAAAGTTGACAGATGAAGTACTACTTGCTGTGAAAGATATGTAGGATATGTTTAGGTCCACAACAAGAGGCCTGGACACAGATAGGGAGACTGCATTTTTCATCACCGTGTTATAAAGCAGCTAAGAACAATCAGCAGACCCCTTAAACTGCAGTGTGGATCTGAACAAGCTGCGATGAGGTCAAGAAGGTGCGTCCTCATGTCTGATGAAGTGACCCTCATCCTTTGCTCAAGTTTTAATCTACCACTAACATGATTCTCACAGTTTAACCTTAATTCTGCTTCAAGAACAAATACACACTGATCTGAGTGCAGTTTGGGGCAGATCATATTTGTTCAATTTGAGAAAAAGTTCAAGAATGTTGCTTATAAAATCTGCATCTGTGTAAATGTACACGTGGTGCCCTGGGCAGTACAATAACAACCTAGGAATCTTTCCAGACACTGTGCCAGATCGTACATTCAGTAATGAATTGTTCAATTTGGTTCTTTTTCTTTCTGAATTTCCTGTAGGTTTTTAAATCTTCTGTGTTGACAAAATCTGACTGTTTGGACTGGGAATGATAGTCTGTCTTCGATAGCTTTGATCTCCTGTCTTCTTTTGCTGACAGATGCACCTTGGAACATTTCTCTATGAAAGTAAAAAAAAAAAAGAAACATCAAAAATGTGCACTTAATATTTTCTAAAGAAATTGGTTTGTAAAATAAAATATAGATTGAGTTATTCAAAATAGTATCATTTAAGCATCAGTACCAAAACTCATCATTCATTTAAGCAGAAGTATTAAACCAGTTTGATGTCAGGTCACTTTGGGCTCTGAGGATGGATATTTGTGTTTTTGTTTTAATAGAATAGAATCAAGCAAAACATGAGTTGTTGCTACGTGTAGTTTTACATTAACAGGAAACTCTTATTGAGTCAAAACATTTCTCTTCAGTTATCTGAAATGCATTTGATTCATCCAAACCCTGTGATGTGAAAAGCGTGATGAGAGCATCTTGTGATTCTGAATGAAACTTTACAAATACGTCAGTCAATAAGATAACTTCACAAACAACACATCTCTGTCTCCGGCCTCAGGCTCCACCGTCACCGACGTCACGTCTCCTCAGATCACATGCTAGGAAGAATGACCCTACAAGCCCTGACATGCAAACAGTTCAATTAAACGCCCTGCAAACACACTCCTAGTTATTGGACACACACTGTTTTTCACATGCCACCATGTGTTTACATCGTAAGTCACATGTGTAGGACCTAAACAGAAAACATGAAGAGGGTCAGGATTCTCACATGCAAAAAATATGTCATAATACGTCACATAGCCAGACGAACCTGATTACACAGGCGCTGTCTGCTGAGAAAAATTGGGAAGATCCAAACTTGGCTCAGGATGTGAATACCAAAAGCCCGGCTAAACCTGGGTCCAATTATCTCTGCTCCAGCAGCCAAGGGGAACTTTTCAAATAGCCCTCCCAACTCCCACCACTTATGGGGTTTGGGGTTATGGAGACACACTCGAAGCATACTTCTCCTCAAGTCCGACAGGGTGTCTAGGTCCTTTGTCCTATTTTTACACAAAGGACATTTTGTTTGCGCAAAGCCCTTTTTACCCGTAGTCATGTTAACTTTTTAAATGTCTATGCAAAACAGATCTCAAGCCTGAAATGAAAGAAAAAAAATTCAAAAGTAATTGGAAATGCAAATTCATGCTCAGACTTTAAAATGGACGTCTGGTATGTTCCACGCCAGAGTTGTTCATGCTTTTGTATGCAGATTCTGATTCGACACAATGCTAAGTGGGCATGCAGGCTATTTTTATTCTCGCCTCCCTTCCTCTCCCTTATATCTGTCGCACAACTCTGGCAGGAACCTGAAGCCAATAAACTAAACCCCATCAGTCCGAGAGTAGAGTGACGTCAACTATTCAACCCTATAGCAGGGGAGAAAAAATAAGCCAGAATGCTGGAACCAATCTGGCTGCTGGAAACAATTACCAATGGTTTCCCACAAGCACAGTATCTGTTTGTAATGGAACCTCTACTATTAAAAAAACTCAAATGGCCCAATGAAACTGTTATCGCTGGGGAGAAAGAAGGAATGGGAAGCAGAGAGTTATTGTTTTCCTCTTAGAGCAACAGTCACCCAAACCAAATATAATCCCAAATCTGCTTTGCTAGGGGTCCAAATGCAGTACTCTTATCGTATATTAGACACATCTCCGTCACGGTTATTTGAATTAACCATCCGCGCTCAACACTGACACCTTAAAAGAGCTACTTTAGTGGTACAACATAATGTCACAAGTCCATCTAATTAAAGTCGGGCCAGGTTGTCTTTTAGTTAGAGACTCTGAGGGGTCCCCTGTATTGCTAATCACCAAAATCCCAAAGTGACAATTGGTTGGCAGCTTTTCATAGCTGTACAAACTCAGACCGAATCAGTTTGACTTGGGGTAGGAGGGTCAACCCTGAAAATGCTGTATTGGGAGTAGGCTCATGGTAAATGCATAACAAAAAAGTGTTGGGTTTGTCTGGCAATGAAAATTAGCAATCTTAAGAGATAAACTGAACAACCAATACACAAGATAGTAACCCTACACGACAACTTATTCAACCTCAGGAGATCCTTAATTATTGTATTTAACTATTGGCTTGAAGCTGTGTTCAAGTACTGTCCTATCTCATTGTGTCTATGCGTCCAGAAATCTGTTTGGACACAAAGCAGAGATGGCATTCAGGATTCTGTGTGGTTGAACTACACTGAGTTTGACTTGATGAGGACAAGACAAATGGCCATTTCACAGGCCTGAGTGGAATATAAGTTTACACTCAGTCTGCTCCATTTTTGGAGGGCAGCCAAATCTCTCATCTGCTGTCCACATATTGTAATCTTTATTATAAATGAAGTGTTCAACTTCCACCTAAAACATGACACACCTGGTATTTCCAAAACAGTTAGGGAACACAATGACATTTCATAGATTTAACCACTTCTCACTTCACCATTACACACGTCATGGTGTTGCTGATGCTGTGGATATCACTAACTGTCATTTAAATGTTAACTGTCCGTACGTATTGTGGTCATATCAACCTCAGTCACAACTTGGAAACACCATTATTTCCATGTAACAGCTACACAAATATTTGTGATACTTAATACTCTGATACATTACTGCTCTAATCTAGCTCTAAGTAACATGTCCCGCAAAAACTTCCTATTTGTCCCACATGTGGCTTGTTGGCACCTGGTCACCCTAACTGCTACTGATTTAAAGCTAAACAAAAAAAATGTTAACCTCCTTGACAGAATCTACGCTTGCATTTTTTTCAAACCAACTCTTCCACATTTGTTATCACGGTTTCTCAGCATTATTAAACATCATGCATGATATAAACTCTCCCTCACTGTTTGGGCTGTTCAGATGAAGTTCCCACTAATATCTGACAGCCCAAACTTCGGGCTGCTTCCTCTTGTTGACAGGAAACCTGGCGGGCTACGCTGCTTTCTGACAAACCTAAATGTAGACAGTAATAGCTTTCATGAAATAATTCAAATGAATCTAATCATTAAAAAAAAAACACCTACTTTCAATTGTGTGGTCCTAAAACAGTCAAATAGGATCACATAAGAAATACAAATACAGATGACTTTAACACACAATGAATCACGAGCCTGCTGGGCGAACTCAGGGAATCTCAAAACGTACTGATCTTTATAAAGTGATATGTAGAAAGGACCTCAATACCAGAATACATTTTATTAGGGGTGCACCGAATGGGAAATTCTTGGCCGAAACCGATACCGAAAATAGGAAACAGTTGGCCAAAAACCGAATGCCGAAAGGCCGAAAATGATTAATAGAAATATATATATATATATATATATAATGTTTACATTTTTTACCAATGTTGTTCAGCTGCCTGATTATGAAAAAATAAATGATTATGGCAAAACTTAACTTAAATAATAATCACTATTATGGGTCCATAAAACATTTATTCAGCACTTTTGAATGCATACAGTACATTAATTCCAAGTCAAGTGCATTTTCTTGTCTCTGTAGGATAACTACAACAAAGTGCATTCAGAACAAAGCCAAGGTGCTTTAAAACTGCATAAACATCTAGGCCAGTAGGCCTACAACAAAATAGTGTAAATAAAGACTGTAACAGCCAGGCCTTCAACAACAACAAATGCACCTATAAGTGCATGTATACAAATGTGCAAACTGGATAAATCCACATGAATGTAACTATTTACAAATGAAATTACAATTGAATTTCAAGAATCTGTAAATAAGGCTAGTCTGTCCTCATAAGCAAAGTAGTAAACATTGTATAAAGATACATAAAGTGAAAACTGGATACAAAATCCACAATCAATTACAAATTAAATTACAATTTCTAAGAATCTGCAAATAAGGTGGTCTGTCCTCATGAGCAATAGTAACAACATTGTATCATTTAGATACCGAAAGTACAATATATTGAACACTGTGCTGCTGTCATTTCCCACTAATGATAACCTGAGATGGTGAATTATAACTCACAATGAAAATTGTTCAGGAAAGTGGGTATAGATTAGACATGTAGAACTAGATAAGCTTATGATAAGCCAGCCTTGTCTACTTATTAAGGAAAAGTGGGAGGTTCTTTTTAATGAACAGTAGCTTCTCTGCTTTATCAGCCATAAGTCTGTTCCTCTTCTCATCAAGCACATGAGAGGCAGCGCTGAACAGTCTCTCGCTGTCAGTGCTTGTGATTTGATCTTACTCCGCATATTTGTCCGGGTGTTTTGATTTCAAGTGGTGGAGTAATCCCGAAGTGGTGAAAGTCTTTGCAGTTACACCCCCTCGAGAAATGTCAGCTGAACACGTTTTACAAATCGCAATCCGCGCCTCTTTCTCTGATATTTTTAAATATCTCCAAGCGGCAGACATGTTGGCTGTGAGCCAGCC